TGAGAGAGAACTTTCCAGACATGCCAAGAGATTCTGAAATTCAGATATTAGATAGTTTCAGAAACCCGGCATGACTCAACCCTAAAAAGACATCCCCCAGGCACATCATAATTAACTTCACTAAAGTTAATATGAAAGAGAAATTTCTGAAAGCAGTTAGACATAAGAAAACCATAACCTATGAGGGTTAAGAGTATTAGGATGACTGCAGATGACTCTGCTGAAACCTTTCAGGCTAGAAGAGGATGGTCATCGACTTTTAATCTCCAAAAACAAAATAACTTTCAAACCAAGATTCTGTGTCGAGCTAAACTGAGTTTCATCTATGATGGAGAAATTAAATACTTTAATGACATTCACATGTTGAAAAAATTTGCCATAACTAAACCAGTTCTCGAGGAAATTCTCAAACCCATCCTCCGTAAGGACCAGTACAATCCTCCAACACAAAAGTAAACTCAAGAGAAGCTTTTGATCAAATTCCAACTTCCACAGTGGCAAAAGGATTAAAAATGTCTACTGGACTTTTAAGCAACTCAATGCCCAAAAGTTTACCAGGCTTATCAATAATTTCAACCAATGTGAATATGTGAATGGCTTAAATTGTCCTCTAAAGAGACACAGACTGGCTGATTGGATACAGAAACTCAGAACAGACATCTGTTGTACTCAAGAATCGCATCTTACTTTAAAAGATAAGTATAGACTCAGGGTGAAGGGATGGTCATCTATATTCCAGGCAAATGGGAAGCATAAAAAAGCAGGTGTTGCAATTTTACTCGCAGATACACTAGGGTTTAGGCTTACACCAAAAGTAAGCAAGGATAAAGATGGCCATTTTATATTTGCTAAGGGTAATAATATGATGAGATCTTAATTATCAATATCTAGGCACCTAACCAGAATGCACCTCAATTTATAAGAAATACTCTAACAGGCATAAACAACTGGATCTCTCCCAGCTCCATCATAGTCAGAGATTTTTAACACTCCTTTGGCAGGGTTGGACAGATCCTCCAATAAGAAGCTTAGCAAAGAAATTTTAGATTTAAATTTAACTATTC